GGCGGGTCCCAATGGTGCCGGAGTTGCAAGCATGGGCCGTGGGCACGGCCGTGGAAGGGGCAGAGGGCGAGGAGGCAGATTTGGCAGCAGTAACTTCAATGGAGGTCGTGGTAATGGAGGATATAACAACAACAACAATGGCTACGGGCGTGGGCGCGGTCGATTTGATGGCGAATGCCACTTTTGCCACAAGACCGGCCACATGTGGAGAGATTGCTTCAGATTGCCTGATGGATGGACCCCTTCTCAAGGCCAAGAGGGCAGAGGAGCAAGGGGAGGAAGAGGCAGAGGTCGTGGAGGCCGTGGTGGTCGTGGAAGCGAAGCGGCAAGCATGAAAGGTGGAGACTACGACAAGGACTCGAGTGAAGATCGATACCCGGGCCAATTCTTCTTTGTCTCCACGCAAGCGGCAGCAGTAGCAGGAGGTGTGGAAGGCTTTGAGGAGCCAGCTACTGTGGGAAAGGTCACCCTTCACTCCCTGGACTTTTGGGTGATCGATAGCGGCGCCACCTATAGCATGACACCTCGTGCGGACTTGATCATCGAACTCGAACCGTCGCCGGTCAAGCATGTTACATCGGCTTTGGGGCAGCGAGCAGAGGTGAAAGGCATGGGCAAGGCCATGTTCAAGGGTGCTGATGGGAAGATGGTGGGCCTCAAGAACGTGCTTTGGGTGCCCAACCTTGCAGCCAACCTGATCTCTGTTCGGCGTTTGCAAAAGGCCGGCATGGACACATCTTCCAAGGGATCCAAAACCTATACCGCAAGGCTTGGTGAGCGGAAGCTTTGGGACCTTCATGAGGACAGGGACATCTACAATTATATGTGGCAAATCCCAGTGGTCCCCATGCCTAAAGAGAGGCAAGTGGCACCAAGCGTCAGCACCAAGCGTGAGGCGGTTGGTGGCGGTGATCATGGAAAGCAAAGTGACACCAAGAGTGACTCGAAGGAGTGCAATCTTGGAGAGACCAGCAAGGCGTGTGAACCCAAGGAGAATGGTGCAGCAGCCAAAGGTGGTGGAAATGAGGAGGAGAAGGCTAAGATCAATAAAGCAGCAGCAGCGAAGGAGAAAGGAGAGAGCTTATGGGGCACAATTGCGAGTGCCGCTTTCTCCAACCCGACTTCCGCTACGGGAGAGTGTGATTGGCTGACCTTGCATCGGCGAATGGGGCATGTGGCATTGCCCATTTTGCAGCAGATAGTTAAGCAAGAGATGGTCAGTGGGATACGTGTCAAGGGGGAGCCCAATGAGGTGCTTGGCTGTCCAACATGCATGCAAGCCAAGTTCACCCGCTACCCGTTCCATAGCTCGGAGACAACGGCGAAAGCACCACTTGATGAGGTGGTGATGGATGTGGTGGGCCCCTTGAAGCTTGGAGCTGCTGGAGCAGAGTACTTCCTCACCATTGTGGACGTCTACACTCGCATGACCTGGGTGTATGTGCTGCCCAAGAAGAGTGACGTAGCTGAAATGGTGAAGACCGATTGGTTGCCGATGGTGGAACGGCAACAAGACCGGCTTGTGAAGGCGATTCGCACTGACCGTGGGGGAGAGTTCCTAAGCAAGGATTTCTCAACTTGGCTGAAGAACCAGGGCATAAGGCACTCTCTTACCATGCCCTACTCTTCTGCAATGAACGGCATCGCCGAGCGTGCGAATCGGACACTCACGGAGACGGCTCGGGGACTTCTCATTAAAGCCGGTCTTCCCAATTACTTTTGGCCGGATGCGGTGCGGCATGCTTGTGTGGCCAAGAACAGAGCCTTGAATCATGTGGGAGAAGACAAATGGGTGCCCTATGTGGAGTGGATTGGAAGGAAGCCGAAGGTGGATATGCTTCGGGTGTTCGGGTGCATGTGCATGGCACTTGTGCCTAAGAAACTTCGGCACAACAAGCTTGATGCCAAGGCAACATGGGCCGTGCACCTGGGCATGGCTCAAAACAGCAAGGGATGGCTACTTTGGGACCCATTTACCAAGAAGTTCCTGGTGAGCAGAGATTGCAAGTTCATGGAGAACTTACCGTACAAGGAGTGGAAGGCGGAGAATCAAGCGAAGATTGGTGTGCGGCTTGGAGAGGTGAAGAGGACCGGCTTGGAGCATGTGGAGCTGCCCTTGGAGCTGAGTAGTAGCAGCACAATCACGAGGCAATCTCCCCAAATGAATGGGGATGAGTAGGAGGAGGAGGTGCAGCAAGGTAATGAGCGTGCACCGCCACTTCCGCCTCGTGCTACAAGTGCTCGCGGGAACCGACCGGACATACCGCAAAGCCATGAGAGCATTCAAGTCCCTGCAGCAGAGGAGGAAGGAAGGGGGAGAAGGAGGACTCAGCCCCCTAATAGGTTGAGCTATGACCGGCTTGGAGGACCAGCCAACTCAACCTTGACCGGTTCGGCTCTCATGCTAGGCGATGATGCGGAAGATGAAAGCGAGGAGTGCGCCTTTGCCTTCTTCTCTCCGGTGGAGATGCCGGGGGAGCCTACAAATCCCAAGGAGGCTTGGGAGGGCCCCAATGGGAAGGAGTGGAAGAAGGCCTCAGATGAAGAAATGGGGAGCATCATCGAGAACGACACATTTGACTTGGTGAACCTACCTCCGGGGCGTAAGGCGATCTCTTCCAAGTGGCTCTTCAAGCGCAAGACCGACGCCGACGGCAACATCGAGCGCTACAAGAGCAGACTTGTAGCCAAGGGGTATCAGCAGCAAGAGAAGAAGGACTACAATGAAGTGTATGCCCCTGTGGTGAAGGGTACAACCCTTCGAACCCTCTTCGCCGCGGCGGCCATCAAAGGATGGGTGGTGAAGCAAATGGATATAGTAACGGCCTTCCTCAACGGCGTTTTGGAGGAAGAAACCTACATGGAGCAGCCAGAGGGGTACAATGATGGGAGTGGCAGAGTGTGGAAGCTGAAGAAAGCACTCTATGGCCTCAAGCAAGCCCCTAGGCAATGGTACATCAAGCTGCGGGAAGTCTTGGAGGCGATCGGCTTCACTCCCTCAACGGCCGATCAATCGTTGTTCATGCTTGGCGAGGGGGAGCAGAGGAGCTTCATGGTGGTTTATGTGGATGACATCCTCATATTCTCACCCTCCTCTGACCTTGTGAAGGAGGTGATGCTGAAGCTTCAAGACAAGTTCAAGTGCAAGACCCTTGGTGACGTCAACTACTACCTTGGGCTTCACATTGAGCGAGATGTGGAGAAGCGGTGGATGCGAGTGCATCAAAAGAAGTACTTGGAGGCCTTGGCTACAAACTTTGGGAAGAGTGAAGGTCATGTGGCTACTCCTCTTCCCTCAGGGTTCAAGTGTGTGAAAGGACCAGCGGAGGAAAGTGTTGGTGAAGAGGAGAGGCGCCGTTTTCACTCCTTGGTGGGCAGCCTCATGTATGCGGCCGTTCACACAAGGCCGGATGCAGCCTTTGCTACCGGGCAGCTGGCTAGGGTTGTCCAATGCCCCAATGAAGAGCAGGTAGCAGCTGGAGAGAGGGTGGCCAAGTACCTTGGCCAAACAGCAACTGTTGGACTGCAATACTCCGCGGCGGCACAAAGGCGTCAAAAGGGTGCGGATGGAGTCGAACCCGGGAGGCTCTTTCTCACCGCCTTCTCTGATGCATCTTGGGCATCAGAACCAGAGGATATGACAAGTGTGGGAAGCTTCATCTGCTGTGTTGGTGGAGGCCCAACAGCTTGGGAGAGCAAGAAGCAAGTGGACCAAGCATTGAGCTCGGTGGAGTCCGAGTACATGGCACTCTTCCGTGCCATAAGGGAGGTTGTGTGGCAGCGGCGTTTGCTAGCTGAATTGGGGGAGGAGCAGCAAGGACCTACCCCACTCTATTGTGATAGCCAGGGTGCTATTGCATTGGCTAAGAATCCGGTTCTTCATGGCCTTACCAAGCACATGAAGGTGAAGTGGCATTGGGTGAGGAGCATGGTAACCTCGGGTGAAGTGGAGTTGCACTACGTGAAGACGACGGCACAGCCCGCTGATATGATGACCAAGAGGCTGGTTGAGCAGCAGCATTGGAAGTATTGCAAGCTTGCTGGGATGGCTCTGAACTAAGGGGAGCAGATTCTAAGGCCAACAATCCGAGGGGGAGTTTGTTGGTGCAACCCTATGGCTTGCACTCGGCTTGTCGTTCTTGTTTGTGTGTGTGCATGCATGGCATGGAATGAATTGTGAGTCTATGTCATAGCTATCGAGTGCTTGTGTGTGTGTTTGAATGGTGTATCACAATGTGGTTTGTGTCGGTCAAGACATTAGCGAGTTTTTACAATTCGCATGTCAAGTCGTCGTTTGCGTGTCGCATGTGTTTTTTCTATTTTTGTCGAGTGTGAAGTGTCCATCGCATCGCAGGTGTGTGCAGCAAGCCCCCATCAACTCAAGAAGAATTTATCTTGCAGAACCAAGACCAAGAGCTCAAGATTTCAAGCCCAAGGGACACGGATAAATATTAAATAGTGAAAATAGTAACGCTACTTCGTGTAGTGTTACATTTCACTTGGTGTAGCTCCTTGGAGGGTTGGTTTCGAGACACTTCATGGTTGGGGACTCTGTGGTGGTGTACCACCAACCTGGACCTCGGCTCTTGGGGTATGTAGAGGCTGGGAACCATCTCCCTCTCGAACTCTTCTTGCTAAGTTTGTACTCCTAAGACTATAGTGGCTGCTTTACCTCCTGCCAGTCAAACCGCCATAGCGTCGTCAAATCTTCATGGAATTTCATGATTCAACTTGCTACTGATAGAGGACAGCAACGCGCTCTAGATCCAACTTACAGATCACCGTTTAATTCAGCGACCAGATCGTTATCAATATTTGAAGCCGTCTGACGGAAATCCGACTGTGCTCTCTATCTCTCATTATAGGCACATCTAAGCCTATTGTGATTATAACAATACCTAAGGGGTTGTACTATATATAAGGATGCACCTAGCTAGCCTATAACATATACATAATTATATGTTGACACGTTGTGTTATGATATAGGAAGTGTCAATGTATTATATCGTGAGAATACAAGGTCACTATTGCAATGAGGGCACGGGATTATATAGGGGTTGGCGTTATAGGGCGATAACCTCGGGACATGGTTAGGTTCGGCAATGTGGAGACAGTGCCGGACGCGACTCAGGGAAGGGTTGGCCGATAATTGAGGCCGAACGTGACGGGTCGAAGAGTTCGGGTGTACGCGCTAGCGTACGACTCAGTAAGGAATGCAAATTCCTTACACTACCCCCCCCTCCTAGACGAGACCGCAGGCATCGGAAACATTCCGACGATGATAGTACGCCGTTAGAATCGGGTGTGATTCTAGCTCGGCGAGCGGCACCCAGCTGTCATCTTCTGACGTGCGATCATGCTAGCGGATGAGAAAATCAACCATCCGACGGTGCAGTTGCGTCGTGACGCGGTGGCTGAGAATCTTCAAGGGCTCGGTTGTCGGTTCTTGCAGGGGCGTCAGCTGTGGTACACTGCGATGGCGTGCCAAGGTCGACGAACTGGGGACATAAGGCCGTAATAGGCTGACGTGGAAAGCCGGGTGGTGACACCAATCAGCCGGGAGTCGGAGGTGAGCAGTGACAGGTGTCCCTATACTCGTCACTTGAAATAGCCCACAGAATCTGGGTCGGAGCTTGCTCGGGAGCGGCAACCGCAAATTGCGAGTCTCGAGTAGGACGAGATCTCCCACTTTATAAGTGACGTCACGTCGGTGACGATCGGCTTGGCGGCTTGCGATCAGGTTGGCTTTCCGGATTGCCTCGGCTGCTTTTTCTCGGGCGGCGAGGATGTCTTCAGCAAATTTCTGGGACTGGGGCATGGGTATCTCGATGTTCAGGGTGGCGGGTACCACGGGGTCCTGTCCATAGTTGAGGAAAAATGGGGACTGATGGGTTGTGGCGGAGGGCGCGTTGTTATACGCGAATTCCAGCAGCGGAAGGGATTTCTCCCATGTCTGTGGGTCAATACAGGTAGTCCAAATGAGTTGCTCCATAGTTTGGTTGACGCGTTCGATCTGCCCGTCAGTCTGTGGGTGGTAGGTGGATGAAAACTGTAGTTTGGTGCCGAACTGGTCCCACAGGTGGCGCCAGAAATTCGATGTGAATTTCGGGCCTCGGTCTAAAATAATTGCGGTGGGCAGTCCGTGCAGGCGAATGACGTTGGCGATGAACATTTGGGCAGTCTGCTCAGCCGTAATTGTCTGTTGGCAGGCGATGAAGTGCGCCATTTTTGTGAGTCGGTCAACGATCACGAGGATGGCGTCGTTTCCGCTGGGACCGGCCGGCAGTCCTGTCACGTAGTCCATCGTGATGTATTGCCAAGGTCGCTCGGGCGGATCCAACGGCTGTAGTAGTCCGGCTGCTCGTTGGTGGGAGGAATTCATGATCTGGCAGGCGGTGCAGGAGGACACGTACTTGCGCACGTCATCTGCCATGTTCGGCCAATAATAGTAGCGTTGCAATGTCTTCAGAGTTTTGTCGACTCCGAAATGCCCGGAGGTCGGGTTGTTGTGGGATTCCTGTATTAAGAGGGTACGAGTTAAATCGTAGCCTGGTACCCAGATGCGAGAAGTATCGCGCTTATTAAAATACTGTCCGGTGGCAGTGGTATGCTGCTGATGGATGGCAGAGCGGAAGAACGGGTCGATTTTATAGCCGTGGGTAAATAGGCCGGTAAGTAGTGGGCTGGTCTAGGCTACTAGTATGGCGTCGGTATGGGCAGTGGGTCGAGTCAGGGCATCGGCAATATTGTTGGCGCCTCGTTTGTAGGTGATGGTGTAGTGGAAATTCGACTCGAAGAAATCGAGCCAACGGATTTGTCGCGGGTTGAGATTCGGTTGGGCTCGCAGGTACTGGAGGGATTTGTGGTCGGTCCGCACAGTGACGTCAGCGCCAGTCAGGTAGCAACGCCAGATCTTGAACGCGTGGACGATCGCCAGCATTTCCTTGTCGTGTACCATGTAGTTTTTTTCCGCACCCTGAAGCTTTCGTGATTCGTAGGCGACCGGCTGTAATCCGTCGTCGAAATCCTGTAGGAGAACTGCACCGATGGCGACGTCGCTGGCGTCTGTGATGACTTCGTATGGACGGTCGGGATCGGAGATGCGAAGGACGGGCGGCGACGTGAGGGCCATTTTCAGTTGGTCGAATGCAGCTTGCTGTTTTTCTCCCCAGCAAAAATAATCGTGATCCTTGAGGAGGTCGGTTAACGGGGCAGATAACCCAGCCATATTTGGGATAAATCGGCGGACGTAGTTGACGAAACCCAAAAAACTCTGCAGCTCTTTGATGTTGCTTGGCGGCTTCCACCCCTGTATGGTCTTGATTTTCTTGGGGTCGATTTTCACTCCTTCGGTAGAAACGACGTGACCTAAAAACTCCAACTCCTGCTTAAGAAAATCGCACTTAGACTCTTTTGTGATGAGGCGACTCTTGTGCAGCAGCGTGAAGACTGCATCAAGATCCTTTAACTGATGCTCCCTGCTGCGGTTGTAGATTAGGATGTCGTAGAGGTAGATAATAACGCATTTATCCAGGAGTTCCCTCAAAATGCCATTCATGGTCATCTGGAAAGTCGAGGGCGCATTCGTGAGGCCAAAAGGCATCACCAAGTATTTGTAGCTGCCGTAGCGGGTGCGAAATGCGGTTTTGTGACAATCTTCGGTGGCGACGCGAATTTGATGGTAACCTCCTCGTAAGTCGATTTTCGAGAAGAACTTGGCTCCGCGAAGTTGGTTGAGTAGTTCGTCGGCTCGCGGGATCGGGTAACGCGACTTGATGGTGATCCTGTTGAGCGCGCGGTAGTCGATGCACATGCGGAATCCTCCATCCTTTTTCGGTGTGAACAGTATCGGGGCGGCGTACGGGGACGTGCTGGGCGAGATGAATCCTTTCGTTAAGAGGTAATACAGATGCTGCTGCAATTCTTCCAGTTCCGGTTGGCTGAGCCGAAATTGTCGATGTATTGTCGGTTGGGCGCCGGGTTCCAACTCGAAGCGATGGTGGTCTGGTCGGCTCGACGGGAGTCCAGCGGGCAGGTCGTCTAGGAAAATCTTGGGGTATTTTTGAATCAGGTCCGCTAAATCCGGAGGAGCGACTTCTCATACCTTCGCGATAACTTCGGCCGTTGTCGTAGACGTCACCTCGCGAAGGGCAACGGCGTACGCTGCAGCTCCCGCTTTTATCGCTCGCTTGAAAGGAATCGCATGAACTTGGGTGCTTCGCATGCGAGGTCCCATCCACTTGGGTAGCTCGCGGAGAATCCCATCGAGTTTTATGCTGCAGCTGCCCGTTGTCCAGTCGATCTTCGGGTTGTACTGTCGCAGCCAATCCCGTCCTAGCAGCACGTCGCACCTGTCAAGTGTAGTCGCCAGCAGCCCCATCCGAAATTTTACATACTCCCTGCAATGAAAGCTGACGTTCTCCACTCACTCCCGTATAGCCAGTGGCGTTCCATCCACCAGTCGGGCGTCAATTCCGGGTAGACACTTGAGTAAGGGAATACCCAATTTTTTAGCCATGTCTAGCTGTATGAGACTGTGACTCGCGCCTCCATCTACGAAAATTTTCAGCAATACTCCGTTGACTTTACCCTCCACCAACACAGGGTGATCAGCAGTTTCGTCACCCTTATTCGTCCGGGTCCGGTCGATTGCAGCAATCGGGATCACGACCCGGTGGGGACTGTGTGGCTCGGGCAAAGAAGCCTGCCCGTCAGTAAGGGGCCCGGTACTTACTGACGCGACCCATTTCCCGGTCGCTCCTCCGGCTTCTTCCCCATAGATTTCTGGGGGGCTACGAATTCTTGGCAGTTGCGTCGAATGTGACCCGGTCGGCCACAGTGGTAGCATAGCTTCGTATTTCGCGGAGCAGCTGCGTAAATATCCACTGTGTCCATCCCTTTTATCGTGGCGCGCTGGTACTGTTCTCGAGGGCGACCTCCGTCGTGGAAGTTCGTCCTCGGCTTCGTGAGCAAATCAGCGGCTTCGGCGAGCTGGATGGAGTCTTGTAACCGTTTCGCAGGGCGTTGCAGTTTTATTTGGTACTGTATTTCAGGCTTCAGCCCGCCCATGTACCTGTCGACCTTCTCCAACTCGTGCATGTAGCCACATCTGTCCACTAACGTCAAGAACGACGCTGTTTTCTCGGACACAGATCCTAGCTGCTTCCACATGCGTAGTGTTTCGGGCGCTTTGTCTGAGTCAGGAGCATGCTCAAACCGCTTGCGAAGCTCTGCGCACCACGTTGCCCACGTGCGAATGTGGGTAGCACCAAACAGCAAGTCTGCTTCGTCTTCGTCGCCGAATTCTTCAGACCACTCATGCTGTCCTTCTGTGCGAGTTGCCGCTGAGTCGACGATGACCTTCCACCACTGTAGGGTGGCCCCTTGCAACAGTGTTAACGCGTGGCTAATCCGCTTCTGATCGTCTCGGATGCCTGCCGCATTAAAATAGATATTCATGGCGAATATCCACTGCCGCACCGTCACGCCTTTATAAGCTGGGTCGAAAGGAGTGGGTTGCTGATATCTCACGCCACCACTTGTCGAGCGCGGGGCTGTTGCCGTTAGTCGTGCCAGCTCCAGTGGCGACGGTTGCTGCTCACCCACCTCACTTTGTGCATCGTCGCCCGGTTCCTCTGAACGCCTTTCCTGCGCTTGGCGAAGTCGTTGGTTTTCGTCGCGGAGGTCGTTGACGACGCTTGTCAAATTCTTCAACTGATCCATTAATGCTTGCAGGTCCACAGTTTCCTGGGCAGGGTTCGCAGCACTCGAGGTAGACTGTCCCTCTATTGTCGACTCTACCGGGGCCGTGGCGGTCCGGACGGGGCAGAAGCTAGCGCACACGCTGTAGTTGTTGGCGTAAAAATATTTACGACCCAAGACAACTACTGTGCAGCCGTGCTAATCCCCTCTGACCACCCTTAACTAAGTAGCCTGAGAAACGGAAGGTTCCGAGAAAGGTCAGGCTCAAATACCAGCTGTTATGATATAGGAAGTGTCAATGTATTATATCGTGAGAATACAAGGTCGCTATTGCAATGAGGGTGTGGTTATATAGGGGTTGGCATTCTAGGGCGATAACCTCGGGACGTGGTTAGGTTCGGCAATGTGGCGACAGTGCCTGCTGCGACTCGGGGAAGGTTTGGCCGATAATTGAGGCCGAATGTGATGGGTCGAAGAGTTCGGGTGTACGCGCTAGCGTACGACTCAGTAAGGAATGGAAATTCCTTACACGTTGCCCTTTCGTAACCTCTGCGGGGTGTCGTCAACCTGTGTCAACTGTCGGTAGTACTGTAGCGGTGTTGACTCGGTGATCCTCGTTGGTGTAGTCTTCGTGTATTCGTACACTCACTCGAGACTCCGGAAATGTCTTGAAGTCCTTTTATAATTTCCAACACCTTTTTCATTGGCCTACAAAATATGAGCCGGTCTTATGACGGCCCATTGCCCCGTCTCCCCAACCCAGACCCCCAGCTTTCTATTCCAAGTAGTCTTTGAACTTGTGCCACTTGTGACTCAGTTTTGGTACATTGGGCAGTTTGTACAGAAGTAGCATGGCACCGAACCGAAGCTGTCTGGAGGGTTCACTCCCGGGAGCAAATATCTAGCCACATGGCAGCTCAAGTGGGCCTATATTGTGCCAACCCAGTCTGGTTGAATGCAAGTGAGGTTGAATCTCTTGATGCTCATCTTGCCTTGCAGCGCCAGAGCCAACACATCCATCTCCTCCACGTTCCACAGCTCCCGTACCACCGTCTGCATGGGGTGAACGGGTGAATGGGTAAACAATGTAGGGATTAGATGAGAGGCTGTAAGCCCCATGCACGTTCCACAGCTCCCACACCACCGTCTGCATGGGGTGAAGGTGAGGGGAAGGAACGGGAAGAAATCACCACCTTTACCTCATGCCAACACATCCACCTCCTCCACGTTCCATAGCTCCCACACCACCATCTGTGTGGGGTGAACGGGTGAGGGTAGGGACGAGTAAGAATTGACGTATGAACTGACTGGAAAATAATCCATCTCCTCTACATCCCACATCTCCCTCACCACTGTTGGCATGGGGTTAAGGTGAGAGGAGGTATGAGAAGGAATCATGAGCTGATTGAGAAGGTGGTTGTCTCCTCCTCGTACCATGGTCCCCTCACCACCGTCAGTATGGGGTGAAGCTAAATGGGAGTCAAGACCACAAATCCATTGGAAAAAGAGTGGTGGGATACTAAGGGACGGATAGGGGTTGGGGGAAGATGGAAAGAAGAGGGAGGGAGAGGGAGTGGGAGGGAGAAAGGACCATGACTATCAATTATGATAAAATCCATGGAGCACTGGTGGAGGAATGGTAGCTTGCCTGTTTGCAGCACAGCTTCTGGTTGAGCTCGCTCACTATGAACCAGAAGATGGGATTTGTGAGTTAGCGCCAGGTTGGCTTTCAGGAGAGAACGGAGCAGGAGAGAGAGAGGGAGAGGGACTGTGACTTGACTTCTTGAGGGAGAGGGAGTGAACGAGAGCACAGGTCGGACTGTACGTGCCTGTTTCCTGCACAGCTTCTGGTTGAGCTCGCTCACTATGGACCGAAAGATGGGCATCGCTGACTCCGCATTGTGGGCTAGGGTCTGGAGGGGGGAGGCGGGGGTAATGGAGAGTGAGCAGGAAGAGGAGAGGATCCAAAACAAAAGCGTGATGGATCCAAAACCGTGATTGGATCAAATCGAAGAGGCTTGAGGACGACATCACAAGGCTGGAAATGTGACGATGCGATGCCTCAGTGCTAGAAGCAACAGGCATGATAGAAGGTCGAAATAAGGTATCTAAATTGCAGCTTCCCTCTTGAAAAGTCTGAGAGCCCATTTATACGAGCAACCACCTACCCCATCAGGCCAAGTGGGAGGGGCGAGGATCCTCGCCAGCGACGTGTGCAGCATGACTCGGTTGTACTGCGAGGGAGGGAGCAGAAGGGGGAGGGGAGACGGGAATGGAAAATCGTATGAGCCCGTGTTGGAGGGGCACGGATCCAGCATGACTCGACCGTACCGGGGGTGTTGAAGGAAAACGGGAAGGGGGGAATGGGAATGGGGGAAGCGAATGGGGGACAGTGAATGGGGGAAGCGGATGGGGGACAGGGAATGGGGGAAGCGGATGGGGGACAGGGAAGAGGGGGAGGCGGATGGGGGACAGGGAAGAGGGGGAAGCGGATGGGGGACAGGGAAGAGGGGGAAGCGGATGGGGGACAGGGGGAACAAAAAGAAGGGTCGCTTGGACCACTTCTATTCATCATGACGACTGACCGGGAGTGGGTTGAGGGAAAGGACGAGGACCAGCAGAAGCCAATAACGATTCGTGAAGAGCGAAAATAACCACTAACAAGGATGGTTCCCAAAATGGGTTGTCACCCCGCCAGCTGAGTGGCAGAGAGAGACCCACCAGTTGTTGCTTTGGAGCTCGAGGCAGAGCGTCTTTGAGCTCGTCCCTCAGCTCTGCTGGATCCGTGCCCTCCAGCACCTGGTGCAGTGTGATGGGCGCAGACAGGGATGGGACATGTGTGATGGCATGGCATGTGAGCATGGCGAGTTGCTTTGGCAGTTCACTTGAGCTCGCCCCTCAGCTCTGCTGGATCCAATACCTGGATTGGTGGAGCTTAAAGGGTGCATACAAAGGGCCATGGCATGCACCGTGGTATGTGAGCATGGTATGCTGCTCTTGTGCCCTCCTGACCTCGTCCCTCAGCTCTGCTGGATCCGTGTCCTCCAGCACCTGGCATCCGTGGCGGTACCTGGCATCCGTGGTAGCACCTGGCATCCGTGGCAGTACCTGGCATCACACAGGACCGGTACCACATGGAGTGATGGCGGATGAGGAGACGAGATGGGGCACCGGGGGAATATGGCATTCCCATGCATATGCTTCTGTGCGCAAGGCAAGCACATGTGTGCATGTGTACGTGTGCATGGCCATGGATGTGATGGCGGATGAGGAGACGAGATGGGGTGCCAGGAGAACGAGGAATAAGGGCCAGGGGGGGGGCATTGATCTGAGTGGATAGTAGCATGGCCATGCACATGCACACATGTACTTGCGCACAGAATCCTATGCATACGAGTGCCACATGCCATGCCGCATGCGCATGCATGCGCGCGCTGGTAAACTTGCAACACCATCATGATCAACCGAGCAGCACCTGCCAGCAACAAGCCAGTAGCAGCAAGGATAAAATCCGGGGGTATATGAGGGGACTCACAGGCATATGCGTACCATGATCCACACACACTGATGTGAAAAAATGCCCATTGTTACAATAAGCCACAATTCACCTGCCAGCACGCCAGCAGCACCCCTGTGGCAGTGAGAATGACGCGGTCCAGTGATATGCGTAGCGGACACAGCCGCTTGCTCACCCCCTTAACCGCTCTGAATTCGTCGGATAGCTGACCAGGGGAGAGGGGCACAAGAGTTCACAGCA